GAACAGAAGAAATTAAGAAGAGATGTATGTCAAGGGTTCCAGAGCCAGTTGATGCTGCTGATTAATATGGATGCATACGGACTATAGACACAACATATGGTAGCACAGATGGGAAAGGCACAATTCCTGGCATTATTCATATACAACTTACACCAAGCTGCACTTCAGAGGATTTCCCCTGAGCAAGACAATGCACATGGTCTTTTGCTAATACGAGAGCTTTGTGGTCCGCAACACATGGGACACCTGTTTACATTCATAACCCTACTCTCTATTATGCCTCACACGATAAATGAACTGGGTCAGGAGTACGGTTGTTTGATGAGAAATTGAAGAGATATGAAAGGGCAAAACTTGAGCTGATTGATGGCTATTTTTAAGAAGGCCTTACAATTAAACATGATGATGAATTCCTCCTTTCCTGCGAATCTGAAGCGAGTTTTCTTCCGCCATGCGCGAACCTGGCCCAGTGATTGACAATATTCTAATTAAGCAATAACATTCCTCTGTCCCTGTCCTGCTAGGGCTTGAAAATATCAGATTTAAGTAAAGTTTCTACTTTTCACTCAGAATATTACAGCTTTATACACAACAGACAGTTTCCTTTATATGTTAGCAGCGATCTGCTAGTTACTCTTTTTAATTTGAAATAATTTGTGTATTTAATGATCACGTATATTTTAAAAAAACTTGTTTCCTACTATTAATACGATAAGTACATAATAGTTCTATCCAGTGGTAAAGCGATTAAATGTCAACATATAAGTCAAAAGTAACACTTTCACATACGGGCAACATAACTGTTTGGTTGAATTCCTTTTTACGCATTAGAAGAACTCAAACCTATGCCCATCCAGTTATACCAAAATTGTAACCTATTTAAGTTCAAAGCGAATGTAGATCGTGTGATGCGCACTTCATACACACTTTATCTCCTTATATATCAATAAATCCTATTTGATTGTGTCATCCGGACACTCTAAAAGAAGAAATGGCCATGGTAAGATTAGTTTATTCGTCTTCAGATAGCAAGTTGCAATTTGCTTAATATATCAGCCTGAGATCAAAGTGAGAGAACCGCGTATGTTGTTGCCTAGTTTCGCTTACATTGTGCTGACGCCATAATAAAGAGCGGTAGACAGCAAATCTTGTTTTGCTTGCACCACAGACCTCCTACAGGGCGTCTAATTAACTTGCTAAGTTAGTAACTAAAAAACCTATTTGTATATTGGTGGGTTGCAGGAGGAAGTCAAGTAAACTTACTACCTCCTTGTCTTAAAGAACTATTAACAGATCCTACATCACCCATACTCTGAGCTGACCGCAAACTTATCTTAAAAAATAGACATTACGACAATAATCTTGTAACCGCTGTACCTGCTGGGATTGTTGAGGGACTGTATACGTGATATATTTACACACAATTAAAATGACCAGACAGTAAATACAGTGCTCTGTATAAGATAATAGAGAGTGATTTTAGACACGGGTGCATTAGAATTGTTAGTATTCAGTTCAAATTCAATTTTATTTGTATCAGCGTCCATTCATAACAGAAGTTATCTCCAGGAACACTTTTCAAATAGAGCAGGTCTAGACCCGAACACCTTATAACATTTACAGAGACCAACCAGTACCACCATGAGCAATGCACTTGGCGACGGGCAAGGAAAAACTGCCTTTAAAAGGCGAGAAACCTAGGACAGACAGACCTTCGGCTCTAGGTGGATGGTCATTCTGCCTTGACCAGTTGGGGTAGAGAGAGAAAGAGAGACAGACAGACAGAAGACGACAGGACAGACAGACAGACAGACAGACCAGATCACAGCAACAACAGTAGGCAACAACTACACTAATAGTAACAACAACGATGATGGGGGACAATGAGCAGTGATTATAGTAATAATAGTAACCGCAGTAATAATAAAAGTAAAAATAATAATATACTAACTATATTGTCTATAAATACAATTTGCTTGCTTGCTTATAGCTTGGATCTGAATTTTATTGAATGGGCCATATTTTCTATTGGTTAGAGATCCTCTATAGCACATAATAAAGAAATGTAAAAATATTACAGAAATTGTCCATTGTAAATATTTATTACAGTGTACCGACCGACTTTATGATTTGCCTTAAATCAATTTGTGACCTTTGCATTCCTGATATTCCTCCATGATTTTGGTCCCTCTCTTTGTTTTATTCTGGATCAATCTGTTAATTCCTAATAATTAAAGTCTGATGAATCCACTTCACCAACCAAAGAACAGAATTCAGAAGACAAGTCTATGGTCTCTTTTAGAAGGAGTAGCATGGTATTAGAATTAGACTGGAATAACATCGAGCCATGACAGAACCTGTTAGCACAATGGGAGTCCAAGCATCCTTACCTAAACATGGCCGTTGTACTGATGTTCTTCTTGTCTTCCAGGGGGAAGTTTGCTGTGGTCAGGAAGTGCGTTGAGAAATGCACGGGCCACGAGTACGCCGCAAAGTTCATGAGGAAGAGACGGAAAGGCCAAGACTGCCGGATGGAGATCATCCATGAGATCGCAGTGCTGGAGTTGGCCACAGCCAGCCTCCGGGTGGTCAACCTCCACCAGGTCTATGAGATGGCTTCTGAGATGGTGCTGGTCCTGGAGTTGTAAGTATCCAACCAGCACAGGACACCAAAACGCTCAAAGCAGCCAGAAATATGCACATGTGCCAAACTTCAAACCCTTTGGTAATTCTGGATACTCACAAACCTTGATAGGGTTTTAATTGCCTCAGTTGTGGGTTTTCCTACCCAGTCATGAGTATGTTCACATGAAAGAGTTTTTAATTACAAGCAACATAAAGAGAACCATGACTACTCTTTCATGTGACGAAACCGTGACACACGACAAAAAGTGATATTCAGTGAGATAAAATGCAATAATCACACAACTGAAATAGGACAAAAAGCTGTAGAAACAAAGTATAGTTACTACTATCAGTGTTTACAGCCCAGAAGTCTGCTATGAGTGGGAAAATCTATATATTTTTAGCCATTCATTTTACATTCATGATACAGGCCCAAGCGCGAGGAGAGTGTGCATCCTTCCTTGAGGCTTTCATGAATAGCCATAATCACTCCTTTCAGCTCTCTCTCCCTGATTGTCAGAAGTTACTCGTGCCTGTGTGTGTGAATACTGGTTGTAATTATTGGTTTGTAGTGTTCCATTTGGTTGCTTAGTACACAGTTGAGTTTTATGTTCTTTCTTGTGACTAAACATAGAAAACCCACAGGACATAAACAGCGTGATATTCTCAAAGGAAAAGTGTGAGAAGGGAAGAGACAGTATAGCTGTTTTTAGTCCTGCAGAGCATCAGGCCAAACTTAAATGCTCCAGCAAACACTAGCTATTCCAACAATGTGCCTCGCCTGTGTCCTTTTGTGTACACACACACACACATGCATGCACACAACACAGATTGTGTTGTAGAATATGGGTGGATTGGGTTTCCACTGTCCCAGGCTTTATGGCTGAAGAGGTGAAGGGCACTGAC